AAGCCATTTTAAAAATCTTCCATATTTTTGCAAGGTTCTGCTCCATATGGGCTTTAACCTCCCCGATGCTGTTCTTAAGACTTTGTGACATTCTTAGAACAGTCCTTGGTATGTGAGTTTTCTATTATCTTTGGTTCATATCCTTCAAATGTCAGAACTTACCAGACATTTTTTTTGTCTTTGAAGATTTATGTTTTAAAAGCCTTTCAACCATACTGAGTTATACTTTTTTTTTTTATAAATTATTTTTAGAACTATTTACTGATCCTCCACAAGTGGACTTTGTCCTAACTTTCATGTTAACTTTCAGAATATTAGGTGGTTAAGTACATTAACAAATATCGCTGGTGGTTTTCTTTGGTTTGAAGAGTTATGGCTGAAGCGTCTTTTTCCTTTGTGCTTTCCTGTATTTTTTTAAGTTAGCTGCTTAACTATTACCAACACCAAATTGTGTTCCTTAGCTACATATGGAAAATTTTGACTTCCTTTTGTTTTTTGTTTGTTTGTTTGTTTTCCATTTCCTGGCCTATATGACTTTAAGCTGTTGATTTCCAGTCTTAAAGTTTAAAGTTATAAAAACCAGACAGGTAGAGAAGCTTCTTCTTTTATTATTATTATTATCTGAAAGAGAGTTTGGTTTTATTTTTCTCTTTAGTACTGAATTGTGAATATCCAGATATTTCATGTATTGTATTTGGGATTCAATCTTAGTACTGATATAGATTACCTCTTCCACAAGTCAGGTTTTCATATTTTTGTGGAATTAACTTTTATATTTTCAGTGTGAACTTAAGGTCAATCTGGTGTTAGAAGGAAAAAAGCTAGAGGATGACTTTTTTTTGTTTGTTTGGAGTCTTATTTTAGATTGCTTACTTACTACTGTTGTTTTTCATTAGAGTGGTTAATTGAAAGTGGTAGAAAAGCCAGGTAGTAATGTGTTTTTTGGCTTTGCTGATCAAAAAGCAAAATTGAGCATATTTCGTAGTTATTTATATAAAAAGAGAGAAGCCCAAATTTCCACAAAGTTTTTCTTGGTAAAACTCAAAATATAATAATAATGGAGTAGTATTCTGTAATATGTGTCTGATAACGGGAAGAGTGGCATTCTTTTTTGGAGGGACATTTTGCTTAATCAGGGCTAAACATATTACTTATCAAAATTATTTGCAGATGTTCATCTAGTGTTACTGACTTTAAATGAGATTTTCCTTATTTAATTTTTGAAAATGTCTTTTCACGCATACAGGTACAAGAAAACCTAGGAGATACTGCAGGTTCAATTCCAGACTAACATAACAAAGCAAATATCACAAATATAACAAAGCAAATAAACCAAGTCAAATGAATTTTTTGGTTTCCCAGTGCATATAAAGGTTATATTTACAGTGTAGTCAGTTAAGTTTGCAATAAATAGCATTATGTCTGAAAAATGATGTGCATACCTTAATTTCAAATGCTTTGTTGTTTAAAAATGCTATCCATCATCTGAGCGTTTCAGTGAGTCGTAATCTTTTTGCTGGCGGAGAGAGGGTCTTGCCTCCTTGATGTTGCTGCAGCTTCTACATCAGCATTTGCTGCTTCACCTTGCAGTTTTATATTAGGAAACCTCATGAACTACCTTTCAAACTTTTCTCATGCAGCTTCCTTACCTCTCTCAGCCTTCATAGAATGAAAAGTTTTAGGGCCTTATTCTTGATTAGACTTTGGCTTGAGGGAATATTGGGGCTGGTTTGATCTTCTATCCAGACCACTGAAACTTTCCATACCAGCAATAAGGCTGTTACCCTTTCTTATCATTCGTGCATTCACTGGAATAGCACTTTTAGTTTCCTTCAAGAACTCTTCCTTTGCATCCACAATTTGGCTATTTGGCACAAGAGGGCTAGCTTTTGGCTTATTGTGGCTTTTGACATGCCTTCCTCACTAAGCTTAATCATTTTGCTAGCTTTTGATTTAAAGTGAGAGATGTGTGATTCTTCCTTTCATTTGTGTACATAGAGGTCATTGTAGGGTTTAATTAATTGGCCTAATTTCAGTATTGTGTCTCAGGGAATAGGGAAGCCCAGGAAAAGGGGGAGAGATGGGGAACAGGTGGTTGGAGCAGTTAGAACACACACATTTATCCGTTTAGTTTGCTATCTTACATGGGCATGGTGCATGGCACCCCAAAACAATTAGAACATCAAAGATTACAGATCACCACAGCAAATGTAATAATAATGAAAAGTTTGAAATATTGCAAGAATCACCAAAATGTGAGACAGAGACACAAACTGAGCTAATGCTGCTAGAAAAATTAGCACCAATAGACTTGCTCCACTCAGGATTGCCAGAAACCTTTCAATTTATTAAAAAAAAAAAAAAAACAGTATCTGTGAAGTTCAATAAAACACAGTATGCCTATGTTGCTATCTAATCAGTACACAAGCATAGAATTTTAATGAAGCATATTTATCCCTTACAGAAGGCATTTATAGAATTCATTTGATATTTACCTTTCAGCATGTCATTACACGGCAGAATTATCACTTTCAGTTGAAGGTTAGGTGGAAGCTCCTCAGATGCAGTTAAAGGGATTTTGAAATAAGGAAATTTTCTTTGTACTTGCAATGAGGTCCAAAAAATGCTTCCGGATCTGTAATTTGTGCTCAGAAAATAAATCTGTTACAAATTTGTAGGGGAATGGAACTGTTGTTTCTTTGATAGCATGTGTAAAGCAGCTTAACGTTGTGATTCCAGTGTTGTTGAAATGATCTTACTGCATTATAAGTTTTGCATATAAGTGCTGTTCTGCCTTGTAATTTTAGGTTGAATTCATTAAAACACATTAGGAAGTCTACAGCAATAGCTAATTTCTCAAGCCATTCATCATTTGGTAATAGTGATTGAAGGTGGTTCTTCTCATTCAGAAAAAAAATTCAGTCTTGGACTTGCGTACAATGAATTACGCCATAACTTTACCAAGGCTAAGCCATCAAATTAACAAGGAGTAGGGCAAGTTAGGAAATTGAGCTTCTATTTCTGACAAAAATTCAAGAGAACTGGTGATGTTTAAGTCCACAGTAATGAAGTTCACTGGTAATAATACTGGTTCAGTAATACGTTAGATTCACATAGTTTCTGCAAACTACCTGCTGATGAATAATATAATGAATAACCATAGACTTTAAATACCTTACATTTTCACAAGCTTTATAAATTTGTCCAACTTGTCTTTAGCTGCTGTACATACATATTTACCACCATTTCAGTTGTAACACATCTTAGCAGATTTCACTTTAAGCTGTGCTCAATTAATGTTTTCTCAACTTTTTTGAAATAGTTGGGGCACCTCGGTGGCACAGTCAGTTAAGCCTCTGACTCTTGATCACAGCTCAGGTCATGATCTCATGGGTTAGTGAGTTTGAGCCCTGCATCAGGCTCTGCGTTGATGCTGTGGAGCCTACTTGGGATTCTGTCTCTCCTCCTCTCTGCCCCTCCCCCACTTGTGCACATGCTCTTTCTCTCTCAAAATAAAATAAACTTAAAAAAAATATGATCACCTGTAGTTGCTCCATGCAGACTATTCATAGAGGCTACTTCTGTAGTTACTTCAAACTTCTTGAGTAATCAATACTTGACTCCTTGAATAAACAACTGAAGAGTATCAATTACATTTGTCGACTCATCAAGAGCCAAGAAAACTCACTCAGAATCATTTGCTGTCTCATTTTTCAATTGATTATGACATATCCCAATATCCTTGAATTTTTGAGCAGCTACTCTCACAAAAATCCAATCATCTTGGGGCGCCTGGGTGGCTCAGTCAGTTAAGCGTCCAACTTCGGCTCAGATCATGATCTCACAGTTGGTGAGTTTGAGCCCCACATCAGGCTCTGTGCTGACCACTCAGAGCCTGGAGCCTGCTTTGGATTCTGTGTCCCCTCTTTCTCTGCCCCTCCCCCACTCACGTGCATGCTCTCAAAAATAAATAAACATTAAAAAATAAAAAACAAAACAAAGCTAATCATCTTAAACAGGTTTATTTTCTCTGACACATTTCTTTAGCTTCTGCAATGAAGCACAGTTTAATTAACTCCCCATTATAAACAGCTTTTCTTGATTTAGCCAACAAACCACTTGGAAACTTACTTTGGTTGAAGCTTCATTTTTTATTCTGAGAAAATATTTTGTGATGAGAGTGTTCTTTTTAAATTTCCAATTTTTTAGACTGTAGCTCTTCTGTGAATTGGGAATATCGTGATGGTTGCTTAGTCTGATAGTATGAACGTGTATTTTATTTTAGGACAGTTAAAGAGTGCCATTGCATAATAAACTCAGTCTTTTCCATCTCACAACAAAATCCATATTCCACTATGCCTTTGAGGTTGACAAAGTGCACTTTTACTTAATTTGACATGATAAGTATGAACTGGTAATTTTTTAAAATGTCATAGTTCTGGTGATATGTATGACACTTGAAATTCTGTCAGGTTACATCACTACAGTTTATAAGGTACAGATCATCACCAATGCAAAGTGATGAGAGTGCCACATCCGGTCGCTCATCTCTACTCAGCTCTGCCATTACAGCACAAAAGCAGCCACAAACAATATGTAAATGAATGTATATGACTGTATTCCAATGAAACTTGATGAACACTGAAATTTGAATTGCATATACTTTTTGTGTATCACAAAACATTATCTCCCTTTTGTAAAAACAGTCTTTAAAAGTGTAAAAAAAAAAGTCATTCTTTGATCTCCAAGGAAAAAAATAGGCGCCAGGGCTGGTTTTCATAGTTTGCTTACTCCTGACCTACTTTTTTCCTAGTATAACAGTCCTTTTTGGGAGTTTTTCTTTGATGAAATTTTATTCATATGATGTCTGAAAATTCACATCTTGACCTGCATTCTGGATTTTCACATAATTTAAAGTGTTCTGCAGAACACATGGTAACTTTTGTTTTCAAGATTGATCTCCTTTCTCCTTGTAGATAATTTTCCACTTGTTCATCAAGATGGAAAGCTCAGATTCTAACGATAAAGGAAGTGGTGATCAGTCTGCAGCACAGCGCAGAAGTCAGATGGACCGATTGGATCGGGAAGAAGCTTTCTATCAATTTGTAAATAACCTGAGTGAAGAAGATTATAGACTTATGAGAGATAACAATTTGCTAGGCACCCCAGGTATGCGATGTGTGAAGATTTCTGGTCTTTTTAAAAAAAAAGTCTTATAAAAATCTGTTTCTGCAGCCATTATGAAGTATGATTTTTAAAATTTTTTTAATGTTTATTTATTTTTGAGAGAGACAAAGTGCAAGTGGGAGAGAATTGAAAGCAGGCTTCATGCTCTGAGCTGTCAGCACAGAGCCTAATGTGGGGCTCCAACTCACAAGCTGTGACATCATGACCTGAGCCAAAGTCAGACCCTTAACCGACTGAGCCACCCAGGTGCCCCATGAAGTGTGATTTTAAGACAAGGGATACAGAATGACATTTATTGCTGTACTTATTGCCTAATTCTGTTCACTTATATTTGGAATTAACCTCTATCACATCTTTTAATTATGAATTATATTATGAATTTATAGCAAGCTGAATTGAAAAGACTGGAACTGAACAATATTTTTGTTTTTAGTTAGCTTTATTTAACCTACAAGACATAAATCTGAGTGTGGAAGAGCTAATGGGAATGTTAGTTCCTAGGACAGACTTCCTTTTTTGTCATCTCTGATTTCCAGATTATATTCTAATCATAATCCTCCAAAGCTGGCCTTGGGTAAAATTGTTAATTCAGAACTTTGTGCTTGGTTATTCTCTTTTGCCCAATTAGGTCCCATTTGATCCTAATTAAAACTCATTATCTCTAGTCCTCCTCATATCTATTTAATTCTTTTTAAAATTTTTTTAAATGATTTTATTTTTGAGAGAAAGAGTGCAAGCAGGGGAGGGGCAGAGAGAAAGGGAGACACAGAATTAGAAGCAGGTTCCAGGCTGCGAGCTGTCAGCACAGAGCCCATTGTGGGGCTCGTACTCAAGAACTACGAGATCGTGACCTGAGCCAAAGTCGGACGCTTAACCGACTGAGCCACCCAGGCGCCCCTCTATTTAATTCTACTAACTTTTGAGTTATTGTTTAAATTTTAAAAGGTAAGGTGTTAGTTAGCATGCCTCTTATGAGAAGGAGTGTGTTTTGAGCCAACAGAACCAGACTTGAATTAGAATGCCCAAGTTGGTATTCTGGCCCTGCCATTTATTGATACATCAGTCTCTCACTTAGTCTGTTTCCTTGTTTTAAAATGCAGATAATAATGTCTGCTTCCCAGAGTTACAGTTTTAAAGAATGAGCTATTATATGCCAAAGCATTTAGTAAACTGGAAAGAAACTTATATAAGTTTTAATGTCATGTTTCCATACCCAGGTTCCTACTCCTTGGTTTTCATCTCAGTTTTCGTAATTTGGCAAACATTTTTAAACTATTTTCAGGTGAAAGTACTGAGGAAGAGTTGCTGAGAAGACTACAACAAATTAAAGAGGGTCCACCACCACAAAACTCAGATGAAAATAGAGGTATATTTTGCTTTGGAGGGTGGGTAGAGGATGAAATAGATAAGGAACTTCAGTAAATGTCAGCCAGAGATTACCGAGAAATGGAACAAATTAATTTAGTGCTAAGTAATTGTTAATAAAAAGAGAACTGGCATTTTCTTGATATTTGGTGAGAATGTCAACGTGTTTTTTTTCTGCTTCACCTTTGGGTTATTTGTATTAATTGAGACATAGTGAGAAATGGCTTTAAATAAGCCACATTTAAATAATGTGATATTTTTTCTTGATTTTTTTTACCTCCATTGAAATTTTTTCCTTCCTACTGAATTATTTTTTCCTTATAAACATGTGAGTTTTCCACCAGCAGAAAGAAATGGCTATATTCTCTAACCTAGTAGCTATCAACAGGTTATAATTCCCACCCCCACCCCCCGCTGCCCCCCAGGGGACATTGGCAATATCTGGAGACGTTTTTTGGTTGTTGTCACAACAAGCTGGGGCTTTCTACTAGTAGCTAGTGGGTAGAGGCCAGGGATGCTTCTAAACATCTTTACATCCTAAAATTCACAACAACACAGCCCCCAGAACAAAGAATTATCTGGCTTAAAATGGAAATAGTGCCAGTGTTGAGAAATCCTGCTTTTATGTTTTAAATAGGATTGTGGGGAATTTGGCTATCTAACATAAGAGGCTATAACAGTTTGGTTCTTGAGCATGCCATTACATGTACTATGCCAGATTCAGACTATTCATTTGTTCTGATCTCCAGTTTCATGTTAATTTAAGCTCTTGGTAATATGAAGAAGTACTCAATACTTTTAAACTAGTAAACCCCATTTATATTTTTGCAACGGCTACAGCAGTCTTGTGTTTTAAAAGACCTATATATCAAAAGCATTTAAGTCAGGATCCTAGAAGAAATATTGTAAACTAATGAAAATTTGAGAGAAATGTACTTTGCACTAAAGCAGTAGCCCTGTACCTTAACTGGCATTTGTCTTATTTGATTACATTAGTGTTTTGACAGTGGACTGAAAAAATGTCTTCTGTATATGAAGTATTGAAAATAGACTTCCTACAGATTCCCTTTAAAAAACATTCTCTAAATTTCTCTAGGATTAGCTTGTTCTTTTGAAACGAAATTAAAACATTCCTGTCTTTACTTTGCAAATCTATACAGTATAGCTTACAAATACCTGTAAATGTGACATCCATTGGGAATCTTTCTTTTTTCTCTAACGCAGAGTTTCAGAGCATTATTATATGATTGTCCTAATTTTAGTAGTTCCTTTTTCTCCCTCACCCCTCCCTTTTTTAAAAACAGGTGGAGACTCTTCAGATGATGTGTCTAATGGTGACTCTATAATAGACTGGCTTAACTCTGTCAGACAAACTGGAAATACAACAAGAAGTGGGCAAAGAGGAAACCAATCTTGGAGAGCAGTGAGCCGGACTAATCCAAACAGTGGTGATTTCAGATTCAGTTTAGAGATCAATGTTAACCGTAATAATGGGAGCCAAAATCCAGAGAATGAAAATGAGCCATCTGCAAGACGTTCTGGTGGAGAAAATACAGACAACAACAGCCAAAGGCAAGTGGAAAATCCACGATCTGAATCAACATCTGCAAGGCCTTCCAGATCAGAACGAAATTCAACTGAAGCATTAACGGGAGAAGTTGCACCTACCAGAGGTCAGAGAAGGGCAAGAAGCAGGAGCCCAGACCATCGGAGAACCCGAGCAAGAGCTGAACGAAGTAGGTCGCCTCTGCATCCAATGAGTGAAATTCCACGAAGATCTCATCATAGTATCTCATCTCAGACTTTTGAGCATCCTTTGGTAAATGAGACTGAGGGAAGTTCTAGAACCCGGCACCATGTGACATTGAGACAACAAATAAGTGGACCTGACTTGCTAAGTAGAGGTCTTTTTGCAGCTTCAGGAACCAGAAATGCTTCACAAGGAGCAGGTTCTTCAGACACAACCAGCAGTGGTGAATCTACAGGATCAGGACAGAGACCTCCAACCATAGTCCTTGATCTTCAAGTAAGAAGAGTTCGTCCTGGAGAGTATCGGCAGAGAGATAGCATAGCTAGCAGAACTCGGTCAAGGTCTCAGACGCCAAACAACACTGTCACTTATGAAAGTGAACGAGGAGGTTTTAGGCGTACGTTTTCACGTTCCGAACGGGCAGGTGTGAGAACCTATGTCAGTACCATCAGAATTCCGATTCGTAGAATCTTAAATACTGGTTTAAGTGAGACTACATCTGTTGCAATTCAGACCATGTTAAGGCAGATAATGACAGGTTTTGGTGAGTTAAGCTACTTTATGTATAGTGATAGTGATTCAGAGCCTAGTGGCTCAGTCTCGAGTCGAAATGTGGAAAGGGCAGAGTCACGGAATGGAAGAGGGGGTTCTGGTGGTAGTAGCAGTTCTGGTTCCAGTTCCAGTTCTAGTTCCAGTTCTAGTTCCAGTTCTAGTTCCAGTCCTAGTTCCAGTTCCAGTGGTGAAAGTTCAGAGACTAGCTCAGAGGTGTTTGAAGGCAGTAATGAAGGAAGCTCATCATCAGGCTCATCAGGTGCCAGGCGAGAGGGTCGACACAGGGCCCCAGTAACATTTGATGAAAGTGGCTCTTTGCCCTTCCTTAGTCTGGCTCAGTTTTTCCTCTTAAATGAGGATGATGATGACCAACCTAGAGGACTCACCAAAGAACAGATTGACAACTTGGCAATGAGAAGTTTTGGTGAAAACGATGCATTAAAAACCTGTAGTGTTTGCATTACAGAATATACAGAAGGCAACAAACTTCGTAAACTACCTTGTTCCCATGAGTACCATGTCCACTGCATCGATCGCTGGTTATCTGAGAATTCTACTTGTCCTATTTGTCGCAGAGCAGTCTTAGCTTCTGGTAACAGAGAAAGTGTTGTGTAATTAAGGTCTGAACTCTCAGCTATGTAGCTGGTATAGTGATGGGCAAACAGGAATCACTTACTTTATGCCCACTTTTTGGGTGGTGCTTAAATGTAAAGTAGCAACCTGAATTGAGTCATTGCTTTCTGAATGCATCATTGTCCTTTTTCCAATTTCTGTTCCAGAATAAAAGGAAATATTTAAAAAGCAATGTTTTAGGACATAAAAATCTGACTTCAGTACCAGTAATTGCTATTACTGGTGATTCATCATCTACATTTATCAGTTTTTCCTTTGTTATCTTAAAAGATCAGCCTTAGCAATGACTCTTTATCTGTTTCTCATTGATCTTTGATCTTTAACGTTTCCCATGCCATAGGAGAGAGGGACAAAGGAAATTCCCAGTTTAGACTAAGTTACAGTACATGTATAATAAGTGATTGCTTAAAGCTTTGCCATTCCCAGTTATTAGTTGGCACAAATTCAGCTACATGCTGAATGTCATTTGTTCACCTTTCAGATGAGGTGATATTGGACGTCAGTGTAAATAACACTAAGGTTAGGATCTTCTAAATGTATAACTGTCTCCTAAGCCCATCACTGTGGCACACTGTAGAGTGAGCTTATAGTTTAATTGAGATATTTATCTTGTGGAAATATTAAAAAAAGCCTATGCTTGTGTAAGTGAAAAAATCACATTCATTTGTTTAAAAATGTAAAGCTATTTTGTAGAGGCTCAGTACTTTTCCAATGCACTGTTGTATTAATGCATTAAAAATTGTAAAGTACCATGCTTAGAAATGAAAAAAACTGCTTTTTGTGAGCCAACATAGTAAAAACACACCAAACAAAGTACAAAGCTGCTTTTGTAAGTGTGTAGATGTCAAGAGCAGAACATATCTATAGTATTTATAATGTATGTGAACAGCTACTGTGACATGCAGAGGAAAGGACGGAGTGCAGAATTGAACTGCGTTGAAGATAACCAATGGAAATTTTGTACTTTAACTTGGATTTAGGCAGGAAATGAAAGATAGGAGGAGTAAAGAAAACTGCTCTGAAGAATTTAAAATTTTTATGAAGACAGTAGCCATACAGATGTGAACTGGTTTCACATGGTGAGATCCTTGACACAGTATTCTAATTGAGTTGATGAAATAGATTTAACAACTTTGGTAGAGTTTTGGTTTAAAGAAAACAAACCACTACCACCTAGCACAAGTTTACATTGATGTTTCTACAAGTCTGCTCCTCAAAAAAAGAAAAAGGTGGAGGAAAGAGACTATAAACCACTTTTAGCATAAGAATTAAAGTTGGTACAGAGGTGTGTACTCTGTAAGAAAGTCTCCAATTTGCATTATTTTCGAGATTTGTCATTTAAGGTACCAGGCCACACTTGTTAATATTTCATTACTATCTAACACACACTTAACATCTCATATTTAAAGACAAATTGAAGAATTAAGGGATATTTGTCCTTTGTTGAAAGTTGGGTTATTTGAAATTCAAATTTTTCATTGTACTGCTCATATTTGAAGATGAGGCTGCCAACTCAAAATCAATGGCACATGTGTTTTTGTGTTGTTTCCTTAGTAATAAGATTAGGTTTATGAAAAACCCCAGTACTCTTGCCAAATTTCTCTTTTGAGGCCAGTTTTGGTTAGGATTAATCTGACTGTGGAGGACTTGTTTGTTTATCTGGGAAAAGATAGTGGACCCAAAGAGGAATTGAATGCATCCTTGGTCTTTAAAGTGACAACTATCCACGCATAGTCAGATACTCTATAAAATAAACAAGTCTGCTTCAGGAATTATCTGGTTACCTTATCTGTTACCAACCTGTCTGTAAAGGTTATTTCAAAGCTCATTCTTTTATATTTTCCTCCAGCTTTCAATCCTACCTAAGTATCAAGGTAATTAACTTGTAAATATGGTAGTTGTTTACTAAGGATATGTACTGCTCTTGCAAGGAAATAATGTCCAAACAAAGCTTCACTTATTTTTTTTAATATAAGCAGATTTCACTGTTTATGGCGCTTATGTAATACATTTTATCTTTTTAAAAAAAATGTCCATGTAAAAGTCAGGATTCCTTTATATTTGTGAGCCTCCTTGTCTCCTTTCCCAAGGGTGTAATCTACGGTTTTCAGATCTGCAGGGTAGTCCCAATTGGCTAAAAACAAACCCATTTTCCTCTTGGTTTGAAATGTCCCATTATAAGGGTGTTTATTTTAAATAGTTTAAAAACAACTACAGCACATTCTAAGCATAAAAGTTATTGACAACAGGTACCTCCCTAACCTCCCAAGATGTATTACTCATTTGTGACATATTAAGGTAAGAGGTAACTCATGCAGAATGCTGGTTATGAATGTAGATATTGAAGCTATTCATAAACACTGGAAATAGGATTTTAAGTTTTTAGCCTTCAGTAGAATGCACATATTGGACATGTGCATGTGGACACCTTTTTCAGTAGCACTCATTAATTTCCATTGGATTGTGTAGAATGGATACAAATATTTTAGTGAAATTTGCTACTTTTTTTTTTTTTTACAAGGCCCATGACTATACTTACTGGTGTTGTGGACCTTGGAAGACAAGGTCATTTGTAGGTGTCAGATGTACAATGGAGAACAAGAGTCTTTTTTCCCCACCAGCATCCAAAACACCTGTTCTCTTGAGGGAACATTTTCTTGCTAAAGACTACATTTCATTTTGTATCTTTGCACTTTTTCTTTATTACAAAAGGTTCTGTGTTGAAGACCTAGTTTGAACTTCATGCAGTAACAGGAACAAGAAAAAACAATGTTGGGAAATAACGTTCAGAGCATAGGGAAAAATACTAAAAACTGAGTTTTCTTGAGTATTTCAGATATTTTTAAAAATTCACTTACTGGTATGAAGTGTTTGAGGTGTTATGTTGTTTAACTCCAAGCAGCTGACAAGGTTGAGATTTATTATTACTAAAACCAAAATTGAGCAAGTTAGGTTTTGAAGTGTGCAGACTTTATCTATAGCAACACTAGAAGATGAGCCATATTGTTAATTTGGAATATTTGCTCTAAAAAGAACACATTAGTTACACCTCAGTGGTGTTAATGGTTAATGGAGGTGGAGATTGAGAGAAGTGTTCACATTAGTGTTGGGAGTATAGGAAATAATCAATTGTAAAGTTAACAAAAAAAGTTCAGTACCAGGATTGTGTGTGTGTGTGTGTGTGTATGTGTGTGTGTGTGTGTGTGTGTGTGTAATGTACACACACATACAATCTCTATAAACATGATTGTTGAGTTTATCCAAACTTTAAGATTAGGAAACTGCTTAGCTATAAGTGTTACCTCAAGTAATTTTTTTTTCCTTTGGGAAAACATGTCCTTTCTGTGCCAAGTGTTCTCTCCTAGTGTCAGTGTCTCAAATTGTATTTATGAAGGGTTATCACTCAATATGCTTTTTTATTTAACCACCTGCTTCTCAAGTGTCTATGACCTGAAATGGGTCAAGCATCAGTCATGACTTTCAGTCATTTCCCAAAATACCCATGCGATAGGGAGGTTAATGTTGCAAAATGACTCTTACAAGGCCATTTTTACAGCTTGCTAGAATACAGTGGCACCTTGTGGTGGTTGTCGATACTTTCCTTTTAAAAACAGAGGGTATTCCCCTCCACCCCTTTTTATTCTCCTTTGTTCTTTTGTGAACAAAAAATATAATCTTCCTTGAGTTTTTAAGTTTTACTTTACTGGCTTCCCTATCAAATGTATGGTCAATATTAAGTACACAGAAGCCATGTTTGCAGGGCACTTTTTTCTTTTCTTATGAGACTGTTGATTGCTATTTTCTAAAGTATTCTGTACCTTAGTGATGCAAGAGGTGGATAAGGCACATATGAAAGTGTTAGGCGTTGTTTCCCCCCCTTATCTATAGTATAATTGTTCACTATGTTTAATATTCAATAACAGTGTTGTAATTCAATGAGTTAACTGGTAAATTGTACACTTTTGAAAAACACTTGAAGACGTAAATCAAAAATAACATGCTTCATTTGGAAAGTTAAAAGTGCAAGGTCCGAGGAATGAGTGTTTCACTTATTTTTAAATTGGATTTTTAATTAGCAACTAAGAAACAGCTACGAGTTAAGTACTTGCCCTTTAAAATTTTTAGCATCTTGAAATTGAGTTCTTAACTGGAACACTTCTAAAATACTGTAATATTCCCAATAGGTGAGTGATCTCACTTGCTTTAGTAACTCCATTTTGTACTTAAAATAACAGTGTAGGATAGAGCTGGTACTCAAGTGTTGGAACTCTCAAGGGATAACAACAGTTTTTATCAGTTTCATGATGATTTCCATGTCTATATAGGTGTTTTAATTCAAATTTGAAGCAAATGAACACACTCTCCAACACTCTCAAATACAATTACAGTGAGATATTTGGTTTTGATTAGGATTTGTTTACTACTAAAGAGCGACATGCTGCTTTATAGTCACTTGGATTGAACGATACTTTAAATACATGCAATGAAAGTGAACCCCACCATACCACTGTGCCTGGTTATTTCAGGGTTCCTCTCAGTTCCTCATCTTGCAGAGTTATTCCAATACCAATGTATGGTTGAACCAGCTGCCCAGCCTTAAACTCTATTTAGTGGCCCTCTGCTAACATTCTTTGAACTGATTAATTTGTGTTTGAACTGTCAGATGTTTGGATTTTACCTCTTGTTAGCTCCGTTTGTCCCTGGTGCTGCTTTTAAAGATATAGGGCCATGTGATCAGGTATCAGGTTGAGTAGGTATGCAGTTGGCCTGGTTATGTATCTGTGCCTGTTTTATCTTCTCCCATGAAGAGCTGCTTTGGTATAGATGTTTACTTGGATTCATATATAAAGAACTAACTGGGCAGCAGTCTTAGAAAGTTTTCTGAAGCCAAAAGAATCTGAAGGGATTTGGAGGGGGAATAGTAACAAAAGCTGCCTTTATGTCTTTGAACATGAAGCACATAAATGTATGTTCTGTAAAGA